CATTGATCAACTGTCACAAAAAACAGTAAATGGGGCAGCTTTAGCCAACATTACTAATTTCCAGCTGTTGTCCCCGGCCAGATGATAATGGACACCTTTTTCAAATCACAACACATCAACATCATTAGTTATAAAGAAAGGATGAAAGACAAGTAGATAGAGGTGAAAGGATAAAAGAGAACAATCAAATGCAAAGAACACGCGTTACTACACACATGTCCCGTGGCGTTTCTATATGTACAATAGTGGTGGGGCACGAAAAACCGTAGATGTTTATATACAGTATATATAAGCTTCTGGCTATCCATGGCTCCGATAGAGAGAGTAGGGGTGTTGAAATTAATCGTTTCTATGATGCATCGTTATGCGGACGTGAACGATTCTGCATCGATGCAGGGACAGAACATTAATAGCATAGTAACGTTGCTTCCTGATCTTCCGGCCGCGGCTGGACAATAACGTTTTTTTTCTTTTTCTGTCACACGAATATCAAATCGGTCGGTGACGCAGAGATCAGGGAACAGAAGTGACAGCGGCACAGCGACTCCAAACACGGAGCAGTCTGCTTCATCCACCAACACAAGAACACCAGTCCAGAACCAAAAGGAGAATGACCCGCTCTGAATCAGTCCGTGTCGCTGCGGCTCAGAGACACACATCTATTTATGTTTTTGAAAAACACTTGTTGTCGTCATGTCAGGTTTTTGGTGAATTTAATTAAGTCTTGGATTGCAGTCAGGCGTGCCGGATTCATTTTAGAAGTGGGGGGGCCAAAAAAGTGCGTGTGTATGGCCCAATCCCAAACAATATGAGGTGTGATTTGTGCCAAAGAACAGATAACTAAGCTCACTGAGCGGAGAACTGACGTGTCAATGTGCGCCAACGCCTCCATCAATTTTGAATGGGTTGACGTACAATTCAGGCGACGTCACGACGTTGTCAGACGTCAGACGTCACGGCGACGTATCATAGGTGCGCTCAAAGTACGCGCTCAAAGTACGCGCTCAAAGTACGCGCTCAAAGTACGCGCTCACGTGGCGGCGGCGTAGCTTAGAAAGTGCTATCTTAGATATGCGTGTTGATAACGTACGTGTGGATAAGCGCGTGAATAACGTACGTCTCGCCTCCATTAGCATTGTATAGCATTATCCTATATTATATTTTTCGAATGATTCCGCTCCTACAGTAGTTTGGAGAGTGTTACAGGTACACTTTCTCATCGGCACAGTATTGGTATCAGAAGAGAGGGGAATAATCATTAATAATCATTAGTATGAGAATATTTGCTGGTGTTGTACTCAAGACCGGTCTCCAGACCACTTTTTAACGGTATTGGTCTCGGAATCGACTGCATTTGGTTTCGTATTGTCTCTGTATCGGACCTATAGGACTCGAGATTTTATGTCAAGACCGGTTAAGACCACGGCTGTGGCTGGGGATGTGATGAGGATCGGGAACCGAAATCCGGTTCCGATTTGGAACAAAAAACAATTGTCCGGTACGGGGATTAATAAGAGTTGTGTCTAGCAGCTCTCTCTCTCTCTGCTCGGGAACAGCTGATCGCTGCACGGCGATTAGCTGTCCCTCCCTCCCTCAAGGGTGTGTGTCTGTGTGTCTCATTCACTGTCCCTCAGGTTGTAGCATGTTTCGATTGCCAGTTTGTGGCTTGTATGTCTTGTGAACGCAACGCTGGCATGATGTGATGTGGCCTGCTGACATGGCCTCTAATGGCACATTTCCACTACACGGTCGGCCTCGGCCACACTCGGTACGGCTCGGTACGGCTTGGCCTTAACAGGGCCGACTCACTTCATGCTGCGCTTCCATTACAGTTTAGGAACTGGGGTAGTTACTATAGTAATGCAGTGTAGGCGGAGCCGTGACGTCATCTTCAATGAGAACTCCAGAAACACAACACAGCCGTTAGCTGTTAGCACTCAGAGCTCACAGCTCCTCATATCTGTTCAGAAACTAGACAAAAGTTAAACAAGTACAAACCACAGACTGCCTGTGTCATGGTGAATACAGTCGCTGGTTTATTCATGTCTGTATAGGCCGTTGTTGTGAGTGTGGACGGTCGGAGCATATACTGCGTTAGCTTAGCCAATCTCCATCTAGAAAAATACGCATTTTAAAAGGTGTTTCTCCTGCCGTCTGTCTGCAGACTTGACAAAGCATTAATTCATGGTTTTTACTAACCGGTATCAGTATGTTGTTACTTCGGCATCATTTTGAAAACGTGTATTACAATTAAATCACGGTCAAATATGTCCATCTTGTTGTAGTTGTAGCCGCCTTGCCAGCGCTCCTCTCTCTAGTTTAGCATACTCAGCCCGACTCAGCCCTGTTTGTTGGCCCCGATAGAACCACAATTTTCTCGGGCCAGAAAAGACGTGAAAAAGTGGCCCCGGGCCGGGCCGGGCCGGAACTAGGCCTAGTGGAAGCGCAACCAAAAACGGGCACGGCACGACACGGCACGCTTAAAGCGAGCTCCGCGCTGTAGTGGAACTGCGCCATAATAAACACACAGGACTAAAATAATACGTGTTTAATTCAGCCCAGATGCGGTGACTGCAGGCCAAATCCATTAATGCGGCATATATTGAAGGTGTTCAAAGTTGCACCGGTATGAAGCGCAGTGAGAACCACGCACCTGTCAGACCAGACCTTTATATATACAGTCTATGTGTCAGACTGGCGAATGGGCACATTTAAATTTCAGGAGAATAATGAAGATGTGATTGGTTGTTCCACTCTCCGTTTCTCACGAGACCAGCGCGCTGCTGTTTACATTAGTGTGGACTGGACCGACTGAAACTGACGGCAAGGTTAATTATTGTGGAAGGATGGACCCCCATCCTGCAAAAAAAGGCAGCGAAATGTGCTAAAATCACTGATTTATTCAGAACCCCCTATGGTATAGAATGACGAAGCAGAAAGTAAGTGAGCGAACATTATGAGCCACATTTCTTTCTATATTGTAGCCTGATGTGCACATCGACTGTCAACAAAACAGTTTCTCAGTCCAATGCTAAGTTAGTGGCAGGCCCTGTGTGACTGGAGACTATAAGGCTACACAAAACCCAAACATGTCCTTAATGTTACTCAAGGCAAATATATGTAATATAACCGTTAGACTGCAGCTAACTGTGGGGCTACAAACCCCTCACTCTGTGAGTGAATAACTTGAGATGGTTATGTTGTCTAAAGGGGAGACACTCATTATGGTATTACGCCATGCAAATACAGGGTCAACTAAGTGATAAAATAAGTGTTGCATAATGTATGTTCTTGAATAATGTTATTTCATAAATAGTTGTTAATGTAATGATTACATGTTCTCCTTATTCAGTTCCACTATCAGATGATGCTGATGGTGATGACCCTGAGGGAGAGATGCAGAGCTCAGTGGACAGAACTGGCAGGTACAGAGGAAACTGTTTCAATAGGCTATGTCTATGAAAACACTGAACAAACCAAAGGAAATGTAATGACAACAGTATAAGCAAGCTATGTTCATGTTCTCTCAATAAGTTACTATAGTTATTGATCAGAGTTTAATCCATTTGAGGTCCACCCCCAAATAAAACATGTTCACATGGAAAGGTTCCCAAATACATATGCACACCTTTTTTTTAACAATATCCTATGTCCATATGTTTCTATTTAAGTAGTAGGTTCAAACTGTAGGGCTATCACTACGGGCAGCAACGTTGTAAATATTGACGATACATCCAGCAAAACGCCCCCAAACAAAACTGGTAGTGGCCTGGCTGGGTGTATGATTCCCGGCCTGCTATGGTCCCAGTCCGGCCCTGCTGACACATCACACACCCGTACACTACACACATTACTGATTAACTGATATCACAATTGAGTTACTCTCTTTAAATAAATATACTGTAATTGGAAAATAATCATGTGTGGTGTCCTTGTTTTGTCCGTCCTTGAGCCAGGGCTCCCTATTGTTGTATAGGTTAATGGTGTGTGTAACACAAACATAATAAATCATTGGATAGTGTTATATAATAGAAATAAACTAATGTATTAAGACTCAGTGCGAGTTATTACTTTCTTCCTTTACTTGGCATTCTTCAAAAATATACAGACATTGCAGCACATCGTTTCACGTCTTTGTACAGCCTTTCTCAGCAGTAGAGTGCAATGTGTTGGCGAACCTTTGTTTCCTCCTGACAGCTCACTTAAAGGTATACTCAATTCAATTCAATAGCTTTATTAGCATGACCTCAGTTACATATAGTATTGCCAAAGCTCTGTATAGTTGCAACATCTATACAAAATATATATATATACAATATATATATACTCCCCCTTGTGGCCAAAGGGGGACACAACTCTTGTCTTCAGACGTATGCTTGAGTGCAGCAAAATGTAGCACAGTGACTATTTTGTCAACTCAACATCATAAAACAATACATATTTTAGTAAACGGGACATTATAATCTCCGCACATTAACTCTATATTTGCCTCTGCCATGGTGCCAAAATGAAATAAAATAAACAATATATAGGGGTTGCTTCTTCTCTGAACTTCTATGTATACTGCATCCCTCCAAATCAAATAAACCATAAACAAATACATAAAGTCGTGTTCACTGCAGCGATCTATTTCACACAGAAAACTTTATGAAAACTTGGTGATATACAGTTTTCTCCTGGAGACCAAGGGAAGACAGGCTTCTCCTGTTTTTTCAGCCTTTGTTATCATTTGATAATTAAAAATATATATTTTTGTCTGTGGTTGTTTTTTGCATTCAGGGCATACAAGAGGTGTAACATTATTTTAATACCAAAACTATATTGAAATAGAGTCTAGCTTGAACAGCAACGTAGCTGTAACATTACTGGGTTATTTGGTGATAACTACCAAAGTAAAGTAACTTCAGACGCAGACGTCACGTAGCTTCTCAGACGAGAGGGGTGGCGACGAGAGTGTCACGTTACTTCTCTCGCGGCATAGTTCACGGCATGGTAGGCGACGACCGACACGATTGTCTGCTCAGTGAGTTCGCTCTTTGGCACAAATCACACCTCATAGACCTAAGGTCAGCACACTGCTGAACATACTCATCGCCTGCACACACACACACACACACCCACACACACACACACACACACACACACACACACACACACACACACACACACACACACACACACACACACACACACACACACACACACACACAGTAAAAAGGTAGAAGTATTTTATATACAAACGTCCGTATCTCTCGTAAACATGTCGGTGTTAAATGAACATAAGGAAGCAACATGTTGGCACTGAACTCAATCAGACGTATTGAGGATGATATTGATACCTGCTGGAACTGAGGCGAGCTGAGAGTGTTGTTCAGCTCCTCGCTGCTCTGAGGGAGAGACTCTCCGGAGGGGAGGAAGGGAGAGAGACGCTGCTGCACCTCGGGGTGAGACAGGATGGGAGCCATGACCTCCGGGGTGAGCACGCTGGACAGATCCACTGCAGAAACCACATCTGTGCTTTAGCAAAGGTACAAGTACTCAGATCTGTGCTTTAGTAAAGGTACAAGTACTCAGATCTGTGCTTTAGCAAAGGTACAAGTACTCAGATCGGTGCTTTAGCAAAGGTACAAGAACTCACATCTGTGCTTTAGTAAAGGTACAAGTACTCACATCTGTGCTTTAGTAAAGGTACAAGTACTCACATCTGTGCTTTAGCAAAGGTACAAGTACTCAGATCTGTGCTTTAGCAAAGGTACAAGTACTCAAATCTGTGCTTTAGCAAAGGTACAAGTACTCAGATCTGTGCTTTAGTAAAGGTACAAGTACTCAGATCTGTGCTTTAGCAAAGGTACAAGTACTCAGATCTGTGCTTTAGCAAAGGTACAAGTACTCAGATCTGTGCTTTAGTAAAGGTACAAGTACTCACATCTGTGCTTTAGTAAAGGTACAAGCACTCACATCTGTGCTTTAGTAAAGGCACAAGTACTCAGATCTGTGCTTTAGTAAAGGTACAAGTACTCAGATCTGTGCTTTAGTAAAGGTACAAGTACTCAGATCTGTGCTTTAGTAAAGGTACAAGTACTCAGATATGTGCTTTAGTAAAGGTACAAGTACTCAGATCTGTGCTTTAGTAAAGGTACAAGTACTCAGATCTGTGCTTTAGTAAAGGTACAAGTACTCAGATCTGTGCTTTAGTAAAGGTACAAGTACTCAGATCTGTGCTTTAGTAAAGGTACAAGTACTCAGATCTGTGCTTTAGCAAAGGTACAAGTACTCAGATCTGTGCTTTAGCAAAGGTACAAGTACTCACATCTGTGCTTTAGCAAAGGTACAAGTACTCACATCTGTGCTTTAGCAAAGGTACAAGTACTCACATCTGTGCTTTAGCAAAGGTACAAGTACTCAGATCTGTGCTTTAGTAAAGGTACAAGTACTCAGATCTGTGCTTTAGTAAGGTACAAGTACTCAGATATGTGCTTTAGTAAAGGTACAAGTACTCACATCTGTGCTTTAGCAAAGGTACAAGTACTCAGATCTGTGCTTTAGCAAAGGTACAAGTACTCAGATCTGTGCTTTAGTAAAGGTACAAGTACTCACATCTGTGCTTTAGTAAAGGTACAAGTACTCACATCTGTGCTTTAGCAAAGGTACAAGTACTCAGATCTGTGCTTTAGTAAAGGTGACGGAGGTGTTGGTGGGGGTGACGGGAGTGATGGGGGTGGTGGGAACCTGGGCGGAGCCGAGGCGGCTGGAGGCTGAGGAGGAGGTGGGGGTGACGGCTGTGGACGGGCTGAGAGGAGAGAGAGGAACAAAAGTGGGTCATTTTATATATATATATATATTATTTATTTATTTACCTATGTAATCTTGTATTTCTATTATATTTATTACATATTATTATTTTTTTAAATGTATTTTTTTTCTTTATTCACCAATGTATTATTTTTGTATTTGTACTAATTATTATAATTTTGTTCCATCATTATTATTTCTATTATTGTAATTTGTATGGCTTCATCTGATGTTTGTCAGGATTCTTGCAACTGTTTTTACTTGAACATCACTGGTACATTTTTTATATGTTTTAAATGTATTTACTTTTATTATTCTCCTGTGTATTATCTGCATCAAATACTGCCATGACATTATAAATAAATATATAATATTTTACATTACACTTCATTTAGCTGACGCTTTTATCCAAAGCAACTTACAATGACCAATTACAGGGACATTCTCCCTGGAGTAACTAAGGGCTAAGTGCCTTACTCAAGGACACACTAGTGGTGGTGTTCCTGGTGGGATTTGAACTCACAACCTTCCGATCTTCAGCCCACCTCACTATCCATTAGACCACCACGATCACTATCACTATAATATCCACTGAATAAAATGTTTAACAAACATCTGTTAGGATTTTTAACTTCCACACACTTCAACTAAATAAAATAACTCAAATTATAAAAATGTTCTGTATTTTCTGAACACTTTTCTTAATTTTATTTGGCATTTAATTATTTTGTGCAGGAAACCATAGCATGTATTTTCCCCCATAAGGTAATATGGGAAAATGTCTCCCTCTGGTGGAGAATAGTCGCAAGTTTATTTTTAAAGCCAGGGCCCTGAAGTACTTTATAGATCCCAATTTGGGACATGTTTGTGTTGCAGCGGCATAAAAAGACATGGCATTGTACAATACAAATTAAAATACAAGAAAGTAGAAAAAATACATGTTGAATTTACAAATGAACAATAACAAGATATAAAGCAAGTCTATTATACAGGGATGGATTTTATAAAAATGGGTCTCGAATGGAACATATTTTATTCGGCTAAACGCTTATTATGGACTTTTGATAGGAGCTGAGGTCACACTTTCATAATTAAATCAAAACCGTGTACGTTAAAAAAAATAAAAAAATATGCCACCAAGTAGTCCACACACACCGTCAGCAGCTGTTTGGAGTAAATGTAGTGTTATAAAAATATGTAATATTAAAGTGACCTGGTGGAGGAGTTGCTGGCTGCAGGGACACTGCTGGAGCTGCTGCTGCCCAGCAGGTTAGCCAATCCTGGGCCAGCGAGGGCCCCGAGGCCCCCTGAGGGCGAAACATCACGTTATCATCTGAGAGAAACTAACCATAAATAACATTCATGACATATTGTTAGAGCCAGTATTTCGTTTTTATAAGAAAGGCCACCTAATCGTGACGTCTGTAGTCAACCAGAGTATAAAAGACTACAATTCCCACGTCGCCTCCTTTAAAGTGACAGAGATGGGAAACCTGTCAGAAGGACGGCGTCGAGGAACAGTTTCTAACCGTTCAACTTTTAAGTTATGAAGTTATATAAGCCTCATCAAGACAGAAAGAATACCTAAGTTGTTTGTTATTTTATTTGCCTCTTTGTTTGACTATTGTAAAGCCCTCTTTTCTTTCTTGCATGTGTAAAAGTTTGTTATTTTATTTTGAGCAAACCACATCTCTCGTCTCTTCAACTGTAAGTAATGTAAGTTATAAAATGTCTGTTTTAAAGCGTCTAGTGGCTTGATAGATAAACAAGGAAGGAAGCCACGACAGATACACTCTGTGAGTTTCTCCTCCGTACCGATCCCGCCCAGGTCCAGTCGGTCCGATGAGCTGCATCAGCTGGTTGTGGCTCATATTACCCAGAAGGCTTTGCAGGCCGCCCTCACCTGCACGGGAGAACAAGAAAATCCAGCATGACATTAAGAAAATGTATAAAGAAAGCGTAACTAGACAGTATGAAGTGGACTTGTGATGGTTTATGTTTCAGTATTTGTAACTGTGACATAATAATGCTTTTATTTTACTTTTTTATGGTTATTTAATTTTTTTCTTTTTTAAGAAGGGGCAGGTAAAATAAGATGTACTTCTCCCTGCTCCTTTCCACCATGCGCTATAAAAACTAAACTGAAAAAACAACCAGTATACGTGTACATGTTGAGTTTATTTAATCAGAATCAGAATCCCTTTATTAGTCCCACAGAGGATACATGTACATTGTTACAGCAGAAAGAGCCAGAGACAGCTTCATGTTACCTAAAGCATGCATACAACAAAGTATTAAAGATTAAAAAAAGAAATGATAATAGGTGTTATAGTCTGTGTTGTTGTGAGGGGGGTCTACTAGGGGTCGTGGTGGTTATATAGTCTGACCGCTGCAGGAAGGAAGGACCTGCGGTATCTCTCTAATGTGTAGGTGGTCCAATACTTTTGTCTATATTGTGTATAATTGAGTATCATCCTCATAACAATGAAAATGTCCCGAGTGATTCCTTATTGCCTAAAGGAAGCGTATATAATGTGAACACAATAGGTCCAAGCTCTGAGCCCTTATGCTTTGCTGTGGCAGAACTGGCTGGATCAAATCAAACAGAACTCTAAACACATTTTCAGCTCTGCACACAATCTGCAATTCAACTCTGCACTTTCTAAAACACTGCACACGGTTCTCTGAGTAACACACAGAGATCTGACATATTCACCTGTCAGCCATTTTCAACACACTGCCATTAAACATGCTACACATATGAGCCAATGAACAGATACACATGCCAGCTGACCGTTAATGCCTGGCTGCTTTACTGCTGACTCATCAATCAGGATATAAGTACAAGAAGTGGGATATTTATTTTAAAAATGTGTTTTTTTATCACAGAGCTGAGAAAATAATATTTATTATAAAAAAATCAAATATCCTGTTTATGAAATACAAAAGAAAAAAAAAATATTTAAGAACAAATTAACATTAAATTTAAGCAAAACAAATATTATGCTATTTGGAAAACATAAAACAAATCCTCAGGTGCAATTAATACTAGATAACATAAACATAGAAAGAGTATATGAAATGAAGTTCCTTGGTGTGGTTTGAGACCACAAGATCAGCTGGAAACCTCATATCAATCATGTAAAAGCAAAACTGGCTAAGACTATCTCAATATTGGGGAAAGCAAGACACATTCTGGACTACAACTCATTATGCTCTGTATAATACACTCATATTGCCATGTCTGAGTTACTGTGTGGCAGAGGTGGGACCAAGTCATTGTTTTGCAAGTCAGAGTCAAGTCTCAAGTCTTTGCGCTCAAGTCCGAGTCAAGTCTCAAGTCTTTGCGCTCAAGTCCGAGTCAAGTCTCAAGTCAAGTCTCAAGTCAGGATGGGAAATTTCAAGTCAAGTCCAAGTCCTAAACTTTGACAAAACGAGTCTTAAACAAGTCATTATGTGCTTTTCAACAAATGTAATGACATCGATCAACAGAATAATACTTAATAATCAAACTGCTCTTTATTAGTCACATTAATCATTTAATAATCCATTTTCTCTCGGCTGGTAAAGTAACGTGTTTTGTCTTCTATTGTAAGAGGGATCAGTAAGGTAAGGCTACCGTGACGGTTTGATTCAGAAGGAGTTTAATTGATAAGATCCCTGATGTTGAGGTAACCAGAATGTTTATTTCCACTGTGTACAGCATGTTATAAGGGACCCACAATCTATCTTTATGCAAGGGATAATGTGCAGCGAGGCGTCTCTATGGGGAAAAGAACACCTGCATCTAGATCCCTCTGCAGGTGGTACTTTAAGTATATTTTGATGCTAATACTTTTGTACTTTTACTTGTAACATTTTGAATGCAGGATCTTTTATTGTAACCGAGTATTCCTACACTCTGGTACTTTTACTCAAGTACAAGATCTGAACTTCTCCCACCTCTGGCAATAAATCCTGAGTGGTTACCAAAAAAAAACCCACTGCTGCTTCTTTTTTCGGTTTTCGCAAATTTCTTGACTTTTTCCGACGCGCTTGCATTTAAATCCGTCTCCCCGTCTCCCCGTCGCTCTGTATCTGGCCTGTACCACTACACCTGCTGTCTTTGGAGCGTCTGCCCCCCACCCTTCTTTCACATAATGGTATGATCCTAGTGTGTCCTCGCATATGATTGGCCGCATGGTGGCTCAGCAAAATAAAGTCCCGCCCCTGCCTGCATGGATTCTCAGCAAGAGTTGCAGCGGCTGAAGATTCTGCTCTCCTAACGGCAGCTCGCGATCGGCGTGTTGGAGACCCCTGAATTAAATTATCAAGTCACCTCAAGTCAGAAGGCTCAAGTCCAAGTCAAGTCCTGAGTCATTAGTGTTCAAGTCCAAGTCGAGTCGCAAGTGTTTTGTGATTTTGTCAAGTCGAGTCCAAAGTCATCAAATTGGTAACTCGAGTCTGACTCGAGTCCAAGTCATGTGACTCGAGTCCACACCTCTGCTGTGTGGAGATTTGGGGAAACACTTACAAAACCAACCTACAGCCGTTATGCACATTACAAAAAAGGGCTATAAGAATAATCAATAATGTTGGATATCTTGAACACACTCATTCATTATTCTTGAAGTCACACACACTGAAGTTTACTGATCTGGTTACATTTAAAACGGCACAAATCATGTACAGAGCAAGACATAATCTACTTCCTAGGAAATTACAAACATTGTTCATAGACAGAGAGGGCGGGTATAATTTGAGAGGAAATCTACATTTGAAACAACTCAAGGTCAGAACAACTGTGAGAAGTATGAGTAGAACAATCTGTGGGGTGATTTGATGGAACGGTTTGGAGCAGGAGTTCAAACAAAGCACAAATATAATTCACTTTAAAAGGATGTACAGAAACACTTTCTTGGAAAACTATGAGAATGATTTAAGGTGATCGAAGATGAGAAATTATTGTAAATGTATGTATAAATGTAAATATGTAAATAGGAATAACTTGCAGAAATGATTTAAAGGATAATCATTGATCAGCGGTAAGTAAGGGGTGGGAATTAATAAGCATTTGCTTCCTCCCGCTCCCTTTCGGACACATATGATTTATTATTATTATTAATATGAATATTGATAAATACTGTATTCTAACAATACGGTATTCTGCTTTCACAGTTGTTATTTTTTATTTGTTTTTTTAATCTGTTCGAAATAAAGATGGAAATGAAAAAGAAATGAAATGAAGTCGTTAATTCATGAGAAAAGCACTCAGATAGAAAGTCAGAAACATTTGAAATATTTGTTTAAAATAAATGTAAATAAAATGTCCGAAGAAAGTATTCAGAGTAATTCTTATTACAGTTTTATAATTGTTTTATATATTCCACAAATGATCTGCTTTGACTGCAGCTTGAGAAACTTCTGGATTCAGTCTGAAAGCATCCTTTTTTAACTTTAAACATGATCTTTAATAATGTTGTAGTTTAGTTTAACTCTGAGAGGGTGGACTGGCTGGGACTCCTCACTGGGACTCTGGTTCTGGACCAGCTTGGCAGGGTTCAAGGAGTTCTTGGAGAGAAGGAGCGCTTCCTGCCGCAGGACTCGGGGGATGGGAGTTCCTGAACATGGAGAAACAGCTTCAGTTATTATGCTCCAAATATCTGGAACAAAGTCACAGAAAGAATGTGTCTGCAGCTCAGAGAGTCCTGCTGGGAACCCACACATGTTGAGGAGCCCAAAGTGTGATGAGAGAAAATGTACAGTACGGGTCCCCAGCACATAGAAGCTGCCGATGCTAACCTCCATACAGATGAAGCGTCTTAATTTTGGACAGTTTAAAGTGCGAGGGTCGTGATCGTGTTCGTGCCACGTTCGTGATGGCCGGCCGGCCCCCAGTCTGACTTGATAACCGCAATACCCATGATAAATACATTTAATTATTGTGAAGCCAGCTGCAATGGATCATTGATCCACCAGGGGGTGCAGTGGGGGTTCCACACTGGAGTTCATGTGAAATCAACTTCTTTGTTGTTAAGATCCATACAGTGTATGTCACGGATAGGATCATAGTCTGTGCTAAATAAGACATGTAATCATTTAATAATGTTGTTTAGTCGTGAAAAACGAAAAAACGAAGGAGCCGGCTCTCCTCCCGATTTTTTAATCCTAATTTAATCATCATCATTGATGTTTATGTTCGCCGAATTGACATGAAATCACTGACAAATATGAATATTCTGTATTCAACTTCATTGAAACGATCAGGATGGGTGTTATTTTTCCCCACAAATGACCAAGTCGCTGCAAATGATCCCATGTATTACATGTACATGGCCACATTCTCAACAAAGTTACGTAACGAAACATTCTGTATTCCTTGCTTACTTTTTATTAATGCTTTATAACAGCTGAATAGGTTTCGTTTAGAACAGGCACCTCACTCGCAATCTGCTCCTCCGCAACGCCTACCACCTACCTCCGGCTGAAATTATGAATGTATAGTAATCATAGATACACGGCAGGGTCCGTTACAGTTTGTTTTCATCTGATTTCAAATATTTCAAATGTCTGAAGTTAATAAATACATTCTCAGTGTTCAAGTCAATAATAGTCATATAAGAAAAGTACTGATCTAATAACAGAGATTTTATAAGGACTTTTCAATGTTCGACATCGCTCATGTGAAATACAGTAAACTGGATGTTGTGGTGCCGAGAGGCGGGGTATCAAAAGTACAAGCTAAACTTTATTTAGCATCTGAACACACTTGTAAACAACGTGATGCCCGGGAAGCGAAGACCCGGCGGAAACAGCTGGTCTGGTTCACTAAAATGTCCGTGTACAGTATATCTGGTACTAATGTATAGCGGATCTTTGTTAAGATCCATATGTCACGGATAGGATCATAGTCTGTGCTAAATAAGACATGTAATAATTTACAAAACATCACCATGGTTGTTATGCGCATGTGCGAGATGTCACGTTGTAATAACAATAACTCATCTCTCTCGTGTTTTTTTTGTTTTCTTTGTGTGCTTTCCCAAAAGCCACTGTGTCAAGTGTCCTAGTTGGGTTGCCGTAACGAACAGCAGCCGGCTCTCGATTTTAATCCTAATTTAATCGTTTATGTTCACCGAATTGACATGAAATCACTGACAAATATGAATATACTGTATTCAACTTCATTCAAATGTTATTAACGTGCCTAAACTCAGTAATTCACTCAAAATTACTGATCCCTCCGCGTCGCGTCGCGGAGGGATCTTGATCCCTGGGTGTTATTTTTCCCCATAATGACCAAGTCGCTGCAAATTATCCCCGCTTATTACATGGCCACAAAGTAACGACATGACTCCCAATATTAATTTAAATGCTTTTATGGATTTAGAAAATATTTTATTGATTTAAAAAATAGTTGTATGTATTGATTTGAATTTACATGCATCCGCCTAAGAAAATAGTCCGTTGTTACCGTTTTTTAAACAGTCAGAATGAAACGGCAGCTCTCAGCTGTGTGTTCACACTCCTAATGGCCCATCACAGCTCTCTCCCCCCCTAATCTTTCTTTTCCAACAGTTAAGTTAACTGTAGGTTACTCTGAGTGACAAGCTTACAGTTAGTGAAGTAACACTTTTTTTTTGTGAGTCACGACCTCGCTGTTTCATTCTAACATAACGCTCCAAATATGACTGTTTCCACTCGGACTTCAATACAGCAACACCATTGTTTGGTTTCCATGGTAGCGTGTCTCTTTAGTAGCGTGCACTCCTTTCCTGTAAATTACAGGTCCAGCCAGGCAAAACAGTAATATGAAATATGAACGTTAGTTTTTAACTGAAATGATCAAATAAAGTTAAAATGTCACAGTGTTTACAAACATTGACCATACCGTTCACCAGCCCCCACACCCACTATGTTGAGTATAGCCTATACTCTTTGTTTAAAACGAATTGGCCATCGGAATGTGTGTGTCCCAACCCCCCCCCCCCCTGTGATATCTCTTCTCCAGCAGTCTGTAGTTTGTCCGTAAACTTTAGAATGAAATGTAATACCGGTTAGTTTTTTGTGTTCATACTGACAGAAGAAGAAATAATTAAGTATGAATGAGAATAAGACTTATGTAATGTATTGACCATTTGATCAGTAGCCTATAAATGTATTACTAACTTTATCCACTGTGGTACCGAAGCTTGGATCACCGCCAAAGACATGGCCGAGGGCAGGCTGGCAGCTTTCAATATTTTTCATGTGCGATTCTAACGCTTTCAGAAAGTGAAACATACAGCATCATTTGAGAAAATAAATCAAAATAAGCGTTATAAATGAACCCTGACTACTTGTGTTTAGGACTCACTGTATTTTGCTACTCTCTAGGTCTGTGGGGCCAAATCCAGATATGGGGGGGGGGGGGGGGGGGGTTTTCTGTTAGAAGGTGCGACGGGGGAGGGGGGAGAGCGTTAGACGCTCGTGGAATTGGGGGCCTCTCTGCACGGAGGAGCCGCAGAGAAGTGAATCACAGTGATCTCATAAACATATGACCAATGTGCGAGGGTGATGAAATCAGAGCATCGTCCTATGGGCTTAGCCCTGGACAGGTACAACAGGTATTCACTCAGAGGGGGGTAGTTAACCATTTACATGTCAAAAAGCAACAAACAGTGGGCGGGTGGGGGAAGTATACTGAGAAGTATATAATGAGAACTGCTACCAATGGTGGCCTATTTAGTTTATTAAGAAATACATATTTGTAGCTTTTTTTTAATCTGCAGTAGGAAATGCAGAGAGTAGCGACAGGGCTGGTCCAACCTGATCTGTAAAGTGATCTAACTAAGTGCTATTCATTTTCTTGACGGGGAAGTGCAGTGTAAATGGGGGGCTTATATGCATTTGAAAAGCAATATAAATCACACAGTTCGTATACAATAGGCATTAAAAGCACCGTCGATAACCATTGCCCTTCTCCTATTCAAACCAAAAGAGAAAATGCAGATATTACACTCTGAAAAGAAAGGGTAGACATATCTGTACTCTTAGTGCCAAGTAGCTAAATAAATTCTCCAAATCAAACCAAATCAAACCAAGATATCTTGGGTATTCACTCAGAGGGGGGTCGGTGAACCGGGCAGAGTTTTTCGCCGGTCAACGTGTGTGAAAGTTTAAAGTTTATCATCTAAATTTGCCGAAACAAGTTTAATATTCTGAAAGCCAAGACTTTGTTTATTTGAAATCAGATGAAAACAAACTGTAACGGACCCATTTTATTCATATTCCGAGTCATAAAGACTTTATTTAAAATAAAAATTTATAACTAGTTTAGGTTGTTTGAGAGGTACAGCTACCATTCTTTAATTAGATGTTTGATAAGTGCATGCAGATCACATAAAACACGTACACAGATACATTATTTTTATTAAATTTGACAATCTCAATTTCACTTTCCACTATGTCCACCGTTGTTTTTCACAACCAATGGCAGAACTTTATTGAGGCCTGTAATTAGTCAACTACAGGTCTCTTGAAGTCTTTTTCTTCCAAAAAGCTTGTGACAAGATGTTATTGCTCTTGGGGCATTAAAAACAAGATTTTAACTTTAGTTTTTTATATAATATCTGCATTGTCTCTTGTGAAAAACTAAGTCTTACTTTGGCCATAGTTATTTAATATATAGCGCCATCTCCTGGTTAAACCCTGAAATTGGAGAATAGTGGGAGGGCCTCAGGTCTTCAGGGACTGGTCAGCTTTCTGTCCCCAGAGTCAGAACTAAACATGGTAAAGCAGCATTCAGTTATTATGCTCCAATATCTGGAACAAACTCCCAGAAACCTGCAGGTCCGCTGCAACTCTTACTACTTTTAAATCCAGGCTGAAGACTTTTCTTTTTGCCGCTGCTTTTAATTGAACTATTCACATCTTAAACTGCACTGTAACTTTTAACTTTTATCCATGTATTTTTTCTTTTAATGTTTATTTTATTATCTTTCCTTTTTAATGACTGATTTTAAATGCCATTTTTAAAATGTCTTCCATTTTTGTAAAGCACTTTGAATTACCTTGTGTTGAAAGGTGCTATATAAATAAACTTGCCTTGCCTTGCCTTGCCTTGCCTTGCCTTGCCTAACATTCCTGAATACTGGTCTTTGGCAGGCAACTGGCTGGCAGTCGGCAGGAAGCTGTATGCTGGGGTCCAAAATAAGAGGCTCCATCTGTATGTTGGGAGAGCTTTACAGATCAGGAGAGGAACTAAGTACATTTACTCAAGGACTGTACTTAAGTACAATGTTGAGGTACTTGTACTTTACCTGAGTATTTCCATTTTATGCTACTTAGTAGTTCTACTCCTCTACAGTTCAGAGGTACATGGTGTACTTTTACTCCACTACATATATTTAATACCTGATATGATCAATAATTATAAAACTTATATTATTCTGAAATGGACCAATCTGCACAATAAGCGCGTTCACACCGGAGTACTTTTCACCGTACTTTTCGCATTTAGTTCCGTTAGTACCCCTTATGTCGCGTTCACACCAAAAAGAGTATTTACAGATGGAGCATCTTATTTCAGACTCCAGCATACAGCTTCCTGCCTACTACCAGCCAGTTACCTGCCTAAGAC